GAGCAAGATATGCCTTGTTCAGTCCCCCTGGCTGTAGTAAACACCATGGGGGGCCATGTCTGACCTCCTCTGGCTCCCTATTGCCACGAGGGAGAGTCAGACATGCCTCCAGCCTCCCTCTCTTTAACCTTAATCTGACACCACCCGTCTCTCCCACGGCACTGGACTTCATGCTGAGTTCAGTAATTCGTTACAGTGGCCACACACAACTCAACAGATTGGATCCCTGGTGACAGTGGTTACTCGGGCTGTGTTAACTTCAAGGTCAGCAGTTCTAATCTACCAGCCAGCTCCTTTATGGGCTTTCCACTCCTATAAAGCGTAAAACAGTCTCAGAAACCTGTGGGCATTTCTACCTTGTCTTAAAGGGTCACCATGAATCAGAATTGACATGATGGTGCTGAGTTTGGGGTTTGGTTCATTATGGGAGTCAGCAAATTACTACAAACCAACATCAAGGATTGGTCTATAGCAACACCTCTCCTCATCCAGTGCCCAAGTCTCTCTCCAGGCCTCAGCCTCTCAGCCTCTGTGAGCCAGGAGGCCAGCCCACTGCTCTGCCTCATCGTCTCCTGGTCCTGGCGCTGCCCCTTTGCACTGTCTCAGGGTCTCCTGCCTCGACCTCTGGTGCCTCTGCCACTTCCAACGATCTTGAAGGCGCTCTGCTTCCAGGGGTCCCGGGCTCGCTCGCGTTCTCTCTCTCTCTCTGCTCATCCCTATAGCCTGGAGGAAGGTAGCTGAAACAGACCCATGGAATCTAGCAGTGTTACACATGCTGCATTTGCATAATCCCGCTCAGTCACTTGGCGTAATTAAGAGACTTCCCTCCACCACATGGGCATACACTAGCTGCCCACCAGTTATTTCTGGAGTGATCGAGTCCAACAAGCTGTCTAATAAGTACTCAGCGCCATTTCCATCGTTTGTAAAGACCGGTCACAGCCGTCACACTCCCGACAGGTCTTCACACAGGTACGCTACCCTGGTGCCCACACAGTTCTCAGGAGCAGAAATCTTCCCATCGGTGCCACGCCTGCCCCATCAGAACCAGACCATGTCAGAGGGTGAGCAAAGGTGGAGAAACCAGTATTCCTGCTAAGTCACGTGCCGTGGCAGAAGGGCCAGGCCTGTTCCTATGTCACTGTGCCAACCGGTCTGAGGGGTTGACTGGCTCTCAGCAGCCTCGAGTCCCTGCTGCTCTGGGCGCTGTCTCCACCTCGAGTGCCCACGGTGGCCTTCTCCACTCTGCCTGCCTCCTCTAGGCCCAGGGCTCCACTCTGACTAGGGCCTGGCTCCGTTCTGCCGACTGAAGCTTTTTTCCAGGCTGGGATCTCCCAGGCTGATGTCTGCCCCGGGGACATGGAGTTGGGCCTGAGAGGTGCTCTTCAGCAGGCAGCTGGTGGTCTCCCACCAGCTGAGAGCAGCCACTGAGAGCAGCACCCTGGCCCTCTCGGGCCTGGCACTTCCATGAGTCTCTGATTCCCAGGCTTTCTCGCCTCAGGCGAGCTTTCCCGGGGCTTCTTCAGCATCAGTCCCCAGAGTCCCTTCAGTGGGGTGGCTTTCCCTCCTTGGCCCAGCTGTGGCCCCTGTGCCACAGAAAAGGGGTTGCAGGACTCACAGTCACCTTTCATCCACTTGACAGCTCCTGCCCTGGGCCCCAAGCACCCCAGGCCCCTGTCCTCTTGGGGCGTCCTTTGGGTAACCTTTTGTCTAGAAAAGCATATTGTTCCCTGTTCTAAATGCAATAGGAAAGAGGGTCAGGGAAGAAGCTTCCCTCGTTCCTCACACTACAGACTCAAGCAGGAAAGGGGCTTGCTTTCCTGTGGAGACAGGCTCCACCCTGTCCCCAGGCTCCAGTGAATAGGGAGAGTGTAGTGATAACTGTCCGGGGGACACGGACAGGCTGATCCCTGGGACCCGTGGGGTCGGGTCAGGGGAACATCGGGTAACATCTGAGAAGGAGAAGGTCCAGTGAGGCAGCACGCGGTGCCCCCGTGTGATTTCTGCTCCCCAAAGACCTCTCCTCGTCTACCTGTTACAGAAAAACATCAGTAAGGTCTTCCTGGGGTCTGTGTGACAGGTAGAGATTTAACTGTTGCCTGTGTCCTATGCAACTTTTAAAACGGAATTTCATCACATTGGCCTTTTTCTTTCTTTTTGAAGGAAATATCATAAGGTTCACTGGCTCCCTTATTCTCGGGTAAGTGTGACCTTTGGGACGCTGAGGGCTTCAGGGGGTGGCTGCTCCAACTCTCAAAGGACGTGGCCCCCAAGCTGCATGAGTGGTCTATCGATTTGGGGTTCAGAGTTTTACCATTGGTTTTACTGGCTGAGCTGGGCCTGGTGGCACAGTGGGTCATGCATTGGGCTGCTGGCCAAGGTCAGTAGTTCCAGTCCACGAGGAAGGAAGATGGGGCTGTCTGCTCCTGTCAAGATCGGTAGTCTAGAAACACTGGGAAACACACTGCTCTGTCCTGTGAGGTTGCTTTGAGTCAGAATCGACTCAGTGGCAGTGGGTTCGGTTGGTGTCTTTTTTTTTTTTTTTTGGTGACCATCATTGTTTCTACTACTTAGCTGTTGTCTTGATCAAGTTACTTAGCTATCAAGAGACCTGTTTCTCCTGTGACCAAGCAGACGAGGGGGTTCCCCGGCCCCAGCAGGCTCTGTGAGGAAAGTACCAGATGCACACGCGGCAAAAACCGCCAGCGTCTGATTGTGACTCATCGTCCCGCTGTCGTACCGAGTAAAACTGCCCTGGATGTCTGGGACTCTAACTCATTACAGAAGCAGACAGCCTCTATAGACAGCCGGAGAGCAGCTGGTGGTTTGAACCGCTGACTCTCTGACCTCTGTGCCACCAGGGCTCCTTGCATACATAGCAGGTCCTAAAGTGAGTGAAGAAGGTCGATCTGCAGTACCGTATCTTTATGCAAATAGTGCATACATTGTAGGCATTTTACCAACCATGCCTTCCTCTCAAGTTATTGCATAAGCACATTGCCAGCTGGGGGTGAGGGGGAGGAATTAGCGTAGCCTGCTTAAGAAAATAACTTGGGAGGATGCAGCTGGCAGACATGTATAACGCAAGCGTGTTATTTGTGTAAAGATACTGAATAACATATTTTCACAAATAACATGCCCACCTGTGTAACATGCCCACACCTGTAACACGAGGCTGACAAAATGAAGTGAAACAGTTCTGATGTGAAGCGTGTGCTATTTGCACAAACATTTTGGTAGTCAACGTTTTTCTGAGGTCATGTTACTGCTCTGTGCCTCTTGTCTGAATATGGTTTTACACGTACTACTAATTGTTAAACAGTGTGTGTTCAACACAGGTGACCATGTTATGTGTATGTTTCTGTACATGTGGAAAGGTCGACTATGAAATGCTTCTGAAAGAAGACTGGCTCTTGCATTGCATTTGGGTCAGATATTTATGGTGACATTTTTGTCTCTTGTAGAGGTTCTTTATTTTTGACATATGAAGTTCTGTCCCTGAAGAAATCTTTGACGCTGGATACGAAAGTCGTGGAAAAGGAGAAAATGAAGTCCTATATCTACGTGAATGCCGTTCCTTTCGACAACAGGGAAAGTTATGGTGAGTTGCTGGTGCGACGTCCTGTCTGGGTGAAAAATGGAATCTAAGGCCTGAGCTTCATAAAATGGGCTCAGCTCACTGAGAATTGCCAACCCCCATGAGAAGCAAGTGTGAACGACATGAAAAGTCCACATTTGGGGCTTCTACGTTTAACCCACGTGGATAGCTAAGACCAGACGACGGTGTGGGTTTGAACCTGGGTCCCCACCCCTCAGTGGGGGCCTCCGCTTGGCAGGAACAGACCGGATGTCATCCTTCACATGAGCTCACCACTTCCTCCATCTAGGCCTGCATCCCCCCCCTCGCTGCCCCAGCGCAGTGTGTGCTCCTTGATTTACGCCACGTCAGAATGGCAGTGTGGGTGTCCTTGGACGACTCGTTGTGAGGTGGCCTCCTGCCAGTTGTACAGGTGATGTCCGCAGGCCACCTCACCTGCACAGAGAGACGTCTCCATCTCATTGGGGAGATATCCAAGTTTCTCTTGGAGACGAGCTGTGTTTCAGGGACATTTTCCTGAAGCTGGGAAGCCTGGATCGGAGGATTTATGTTAACTTTAGTTAGATAATGCTTTTTTATTACTATGGTTTATTATTTATTGTACATTTTACCTTTGAGATAGCAAAGTTATCTTGGGGTTTCTAGCTTGGTGACGGAGCCCTGGTGGGGCAGTAGGCTATGCCTTGGGTTGTCCACCACAATGTCAGCCGTCTGGAACCGCCCACTGCCCCTCGGGAAAAGATGTGCAGCCTTGGAGACCCAAAGGAGCGGTGTTCTATGCTGTCCTGTCGGGCAGCTGTGAGTCCGATGGGCTCAGGGGCAGTTGATGTTGGTTTGTTTCTTCACTTTTCAGTTTCATTTAAGTTTTTAATCATTTTAGGGATCACCTACCAGGCGAGAAAAGAACTTCATAAAGCAGTAAGGAACGTCCTGGTCACGTCAGCCAAGATACTGCGGAATCCATTTGCCGGTAGGGACCCAGTGTTGCCCGCTTCCCATGCTGACGTGTAGGATGGCCATGGAGAGTTCATCGGTTCCCATTGTTCTCTGACGTTGGGTTTAGTCTTGTGTTCCCTATGCATTACTTTAAAAATAAGTAGTACACACTTACGGGTTCTACCTTTTCAACTGTCCAACGCAGTGGTATCGGTGACATCAATCAGGGTGTGCAACCATTATGCTAATGGGAGCCAAATGTTCCGTCACCATCAGCAGAAACTCCCTGCGCCTCAATGACACCCCTCCTCCTCCCTTGTGCCCCTCAGCACTACTTATACGCGTCGCCCTGCTGTTTACATTGACCGATCTTGCTGTTGTATGTAGTGACAGACAGGTGTCACTCAGCAGCCTGTTGTTAAGGTTTAGCATAGCTCTGCAGCCACCAGACGTCATTTCTCTCTCTCCCTGGCTAACCATCCACAGCATGGACAGAGCAGGCATCTGCCCTCTCACCTGCTGGCAGTCACGTGGGCTGTGCGCGTCATCTACACTCTGAGTGGAGCTGCTGTGACCACTGGTGGCCTCCTGTGGGTTGTGTTGAATCTCAGGGTGTTGTTTTCTCATCCATCTTTGTATGAGAAGGCTTGAGAAAATTCATGGAACAGTCCCACTAGCTTTTAATTCTATTTTGTCCCATGAATGTTTTGAAGCTCCCGCGTGTGTGTATTGCTGCTATATCCACACATCCTGCCTTCAAGGCATTTGGCAATTCGGACTCACAGAGGCACTCCTGGACTGAGTAGAACTGTGCCGGTGGGTTTCCGAGGCTGTACATCGTTATGGGAACAGAAAGCCTCTTCTTTCTCACCAGGGCGGCTGTTGGGTTTGAACCACTGACCTTGTGGTTGCCACAGAGCTCTTTATAGTTGTAAGTAAATATTGAGGCTAACTGGAAGCTCTTCTCTTTCTAGAAAACCTGCCTCATTCTTTCTCATGATGAAAATATCACCACAAAAACAGATTTGACAGATAAATCCCCATTTGGGATTAGAGAGCGGACCTGATCTCTTTAAAAAGCTGGTCTGAAAACAAGAAGGCAGGAACACTTTCTGCATTGAAACGAGATGAACCCCAAACCCAACCCACTGCTATCCAGTGGATTCCGACTCTTGGACCCTGTGTGGGTGTTCAGGACGGTGCACCACGGAGGGAGCAGGCAGCCTCGTCTTTCTCCTACGGAGCCACTGGTGGGTTTCAACCACCGACCTTGAGAGACACCGTTCAGTCCTGGTGTCAGGAAGCTACTCTGATAGATGTGCTGGGGGCAGTGGGAGAAAAGTGGTGTGGCATTGGACTGGGTGATTTTGGAACTCGTGACTGGTGTTCTTGGGAGTAGTGGTGACATTGCGCTCAGGCAGGAGAATATGAGCTGGTTCTGAGGTGATTAAAGGGGGAAATGTCATTATGTCTGCAAATTCCTCCCAAAGCATTTAGAAAAAGGAAAGTCGTACCTCCCCAACCCCCGCGC